GGCATCCCCAGCAGCGGCTCCCTGCAGAGGAAGAAGCTCATCTCTATCTGCGACCACTGCAAGATCAAGATGCAACTGGTGGCTGACCTGCTCCTGCTGTCGAGTGAGACCAGGCCGGTGAACACCGAGAGCCTGTCCGTCTTTGGTGAGTCCTTCGAGAAGTGCAGGGACACGATCATTGCCAGGACCAAAGGACTCTCCATCTTGACCCATGACGTCCAGAGCCAGCTCAATATGGGACGCTTCGGGGAGGTGGGGGAAAGCCTGATGGAGATGGGGGAGCTGGTGGTCTCCCTGACTGAATGTTCTGCCCACGCTGCCTACCTGGCCGCGGTGGAGACTCCGGGCGCCCAGCCTGCCATGCCCGGCTTGGTGGATCGCTACAAGGTGACCCGGTGTAGGCACGAAGTGGAGCATGGCTGCGGGGTCTTGAAGACCACCCCTCTGGCAGATATGAGCCCTCAGCTCCTGCTGGAGGTTTCTCAGAACATGTCCAAGAACTTGAAATTCCTGACGGATGCCTGTGTGCTGGCCAGTGAGAAATCCAAGGATAAATTTGCTAAGGAACAGTTCAAACTCAGTGTCAAATGTATGAGCACCAGCGCCTCTGCCCTCTTGGCGTGTGTCAAGGAGGTCAAGACTTCACCCAGCGAGCTGACCAGGAACCGGTGCGTCTTGTTCAGTGGACCTTTGGTGCAGTCTGTCTACGCTCTGGTGGGCTTTGCCACTGAGCCCCAGTTTTTGGGTAAAGCTGCCACCATTAATCCAGAGGGCAAAGCTGTGCAAACTGCCATCCTAGGAGGAGCCATGAGTGTGGTATCTGCTTGTGTGCTCCTGACCCAATGCCTCAGGGATATAGCCCAACACCCCGAAAGTAGCACCAAAATGAGCGATTACAGGGAAAGGTTGAGGAACTCAGCGTGCGCCGTCTCGGATGGTTGCAACCTGTTATCTCAGGCACTAAGAGAAAGATCTTCACCCAGGACTTTACCGCCAGTGAACTCCAATTCTGTGAATTAACCCCCACTTCTTCTGTTTAGATCCCAGTCATTGCTAAAGGAAAATAATATCCCACCTCCTCGCCCCTTTTTTGTATACCAAAGAATTTGCTTGGATGAGCCCAATCCTTTTGATTTCATGTGGTGAAGAAGCAAAACAGCCTTTTCAAACCATGCGTACTAATAAAGGTAGCCAGTTTTGGCTTAGTTTTATTTTACTTTAAAGTCAAGCAAGATATCTGGAGATAGATCTTCCTTTATTGAGCAAGGTATTCCCACAAGCGGTGACAACTGTTGAAAAGTTTTCTGTGTATTTGGGGAGGTGGGGGTATCTGAAAAAGGAAAAAAAAAAAGGCTTTAATCGCGCTGGGTGCGGTTTTTAAAGTTTGTCTTGTCTTGTCTTCCAAAATTTCCCTTCTAAATTTTACTGTTCAGTTGTGCAGGAAAAAGGTTACCTCAGTTCTCACTCATTTTAAAGAAAAAACACCAACCTAAAAAACCCAACAACACATAGATGGTCAATGTAGCTACTATTTTGTTTGGTTTTGTTTTGTATGACTTTTTTTTTTTTTTTTTTTTTTTATTCTGCATCAAGTGTTAGGTTAGAAGTGCATTTGGTGTGTAGGAGTGGAAGGACTGGAGGTTGTGATTATGTTTTCCGTGTGTTGATTTCCAAACTGGGGGAAAAGCTACTGTGAGTGTTTAAACAAACAAACAGAAAAAAAAACTACACTATAACATAAGTGATTTTTAATATTTTTTTTTTCCAATGTCAGTTTTTATCTTGCATGTACTGGAGTATTTATTTCATCTATTAAAATGTTATGTTTCTCAGATGTCTTTCTGTGAATCTCTTGAATACTTGAACAGCGAGGCCTGTTTGCATTGTATGTCATTTTCCCCAGGGAATGGGTGGTACAAACGTAGCTGTAGTTCTAGACAGCAGCATACAGGCTGCAATTCAGGGCTTGTTATTTCATTAATACTGTCCCTCCTGCAATGCCACCCCTCCTCCTCAGGATGCCTCTGACATTGATACTCTGGAGTTGTATTTTTGGAGAGCTTGGGCAGTGCTGCATCCATGGGGACTGCTGTGGCTGGTGGTGGCTGCAGCAGCAGGGCATAGGCTGGCTTTGTTTGTCTTCATCAGCCTTCTGTGTTATCTTTGAGGAGTTTGTGTATTTTAACTCTTGTAGATGTTGTGGGCCATCTGTGTTAAATTGATGAGTTTCCATTTTAATTTAAAGACTTCTTGAACAACTTGACGCTGCTGGTTCCGTGTGTCTGCTTAGGAGTGTGAAGGTCTGTCAGGGTTGGCCCTTTGATTCCTCAGAGGGTGGTGTTGGAGCTCCTCAGCTCCTCAGGTTTCTGTCAGAGTAGTTCTAGTTTGCTGTTGCAGGGAATGGGAAAAGTTAGCTAGGCATTGAGGCCCAGTCCACCTCCAGTTGAATTCCTTGGAAATGGTGAGTTGACCTTAGGGAATACTTCAGTAGTTCCCATAATTGCAGTGATGATTGTTTTCAGCCTGGTCTTTGTAGACCTGTGAGGTCTGTTGCCTTCTGTATGTTCCATGGAAGGTAAATGGAAGAGCAGGTCTTCTGGAAAGAAGGCTTTGTTTGTTCAGCTCTGTGGCATAACTGGATTTTTTTTATAGGTCTGCAAATTGAACAATGTTGAAAGCTATTAGAGAATGTACCTTAAAAATGTTATCATGGTTTAAACCTTTACTGTACAAGTGCTCTCCTTGTCCTTTGAAGAAGTAAATCTTTTGGGCTTGGGTATGGAACAGTCCTGGAGAAGTGAAAGGTCTTCCTTTTATAGCATTATTGTTTCTGTTGCGTGTGATGCTTTTGCTTAATTTAAAATGGGAGTGAAACATTACTGGACTTAGTCCACTGGGTAGTGGACTAAGCTTATATACCCCTATCTGCAGGGTTAGAAAAAATAACACCTTAAGTACAGTGGACCCCAGGATTAGGTTTTCTTTACTTTTAAAATAAACTTTTCTGACTTCAGTGAATTGTATGATTAGGACTTTTCTTTGTGGAAAATAAGTCCAGGCTACCTACCTCTGGGCTGTGATTTTCTCACCGTGTTATCTCAGGTGCAATATAATCTTATCAGTACATGCTGCAAAGACATGGATGTCTGCACCTGTGCAGGGTAGCAAGAAAGTTCTCTCACTGTTTTTTCATAAATAAATACATATATACACATGCTGTTCTAACTGTGACTTAGATGCCCCCACAGGTATTTTCTCAGAGGCTCTCTCACGTGTCCATGCACACAAGCATTCCCATCTGGATAGCAGAACAGCTGTAGGAGTCGGGTGGGATTCATAGGAAGCCAAGGCCATCTCCAGGGAGGTGCTGTGCCTCCAGTGTTTGTGGGTGGCTGCTCGCCCACCCTTTGTATCTCCTCCCTTGTAGCATGTCTCTCTGGAAGCCAAAACACCATCCTGCTCTACCCTTCCTTCTTTTCCGCAGTTGCACTGAGGGGAAGGAGGAAAAAGGGACTGTAATGCTTTCAGGATGTGCTATATCTTCTGTGGCTGCAGACAGGAGGTGAGGAACTGGCTCCACCCTTCCTTTGCATAGATCCTAGATGATGCAGAACTTCGTGTGGGACGTGCGGAGATGGTGCTGCGGGGGCTGCCGGGCAGGGCGCAGGTAGCGGGGCCACCACCTTCTAGCTCCAGTTCTGTTAAGTTCCTGTGACCTGCACTGGGGAGGCCTGCTTCCAGATAGAAACCAGAGCATCCTGGAGGTCAGCTCTGCAGCATGTCTGACAAAAAAAAAAAAAAAAAGCAACGTCCCGCTGGCTCCTTTGATGTTTCTACTTAATAATTTTTGGCGCTGCTGAACTAATTAGATTCTTTTTGATTCATTTATACATTATTGAGGTTACAGGGATCACAGTGCAGCCTCCTTCTTACCTCTGCATATGAAAGGCAAGGCATTATTAATGATGACTGTGTTGACATTTCTTGTGGAAGATTTTAAGTGGTTTAGTGCAATTTTTGTTTTGACAAGGATCCTGCAGATCACTTTCCCCTTTCAGATTTTGAGTTGAAATACATGCATGTATATATATAGTAAGTTTGTATCTTTTTCTTTTTTTAATATTGAAGGAAAACAGGCTGCTCTAGATCTGCCCCTTTCCTTTTGAGATGTGTGGTTTTTATAAAATAAAAGGTGAAATGTAACCAGGCCATGATTTTAGTTACAGGCTGATTAAAATAATATATATACATACAAATAGTAAATCAGCAAAGTAACTTATTGTTAACATCTTAACAATATTTTTAAGACTTCAAAATGTTCAATCATTCTTTTCAGAGTAGAACTCACACAAATGAAGCCATGCAGTCCCCGACCTCAGCTCAAGACAGGATCTCTCAAAATCTGTGCTATTCATATAATGAGCACAACAAAGTTAAAAGACTTTTGAGGCAAACAAGTACAACTGTTTGTATGTACCCTGAGTAAAATATTATCAGGAAAAGGTGTGTGTATGTATATGCACATTGTGGCATTTTCTGAGCTGAAAGACTGGTTCCACTATTGAGCGTGAACATATATTTTCAATACTGCAGTGCCACATTTATAAAGACTTAAGGAATATTGTGATAATGTATCTGATATGTATTCCTATAGAATATTAATTCTGATATAAGACATTACTGCAGTAGGTGTATTCATGTTCATTTACTTGGTACAGACAGAAAAAATACATTGTGGAGTAGCTTTCAGGGTGCAGTTGGATGCCTCATCAAGGTGATTATCATTACTTGGTGTCATACTTGAGGTCCTTGTGGCCCAAATTCTAACACTGTTTAGGTCAACAGGTAGTGTCACTGTTTCAACATAGGCTTAGAGAATCATGAGATGTGATTTCTGGGTCTGGGACCTTGGTGATTCTGACAAAATATTTCAGTGTACTTATATCCTGTAGGTCATAGATTTACTCAGTGCATTTAGTAAAAAGGGTAGCTTACTTGTAAACACATTATGCCGTGCACATTTGTAGCCAAAAATAACAGTATCCCAAGCACAAGACAATTAAGCTTATTTTTTTTACATAAAAGATATTTTTTTTATGGGAGAAGTTGTCAATTTTGTATGGTCTGTGAATCTAATATTACCTCTTGGTTGCTGGTTTGTAATAATGAAGTTCAGTAGTGACTTAATACAGCAGCTGAGTCTTGGAATTTGAGATTGGAGCAATGTGTTTTCTTCTACAGAAAGTATGTTCTGTAAGACAATGAGTAAACTAGCAGCAAAATGCTAATGAAAAGCAAGTAAATTATTTAAGGGAAGTTGCAAATGTAAACCCATGTTATTTTTCAAAACTAAGGAAAAAAACGACCATGGGTCAGATAATTCCCTTCACTTTTTACCACAGGAAATGATCAAAGTAGCAGAAAATCTGCTCTTTTTGGCCAAACTTCTGTCAGAGACAGAAGGGGTCGAGCCAACACATGGTGTATGCAGCCTTGCAGCAAGAGGGGATGTGGCTGATGGGAAAGGAGGTGGAACCAGAGAAAATCTGTAGGGTAATACCTCCTATTAAACCCACAGGAATTTTCCCATTCTAGATAAAGCAGAGACTGACCCGATCAAGCAAATCTCAAACAACACAACCTTTCTTTCCAGGCTGTTAGAAGAGGGTGAATGTGGGGTAGGAGCCTTTGGGATGCTTTGTGCTGAGCAGCTCTATTGCTGTAGGGAACCAAGGCCCTCCAAGGGTGCCCTAAGATACGTCAGGAGTACAGGCAAAAATGAGTACTTGCCAGAACAGTTTGGTGGGAAATGAAGGGGCAGTGTTTTATTTTTTGTCTTTCATCCCTGTCAGGCTCCTTCTCGACTTTACGAGCTGAAGCAGATGGCTGAGACCAGGATGTTTTACTTTTGTTCTTGCTGCCTGTGAAAGGTGCCAGATGGGCAATGATAAAGATAGAAATTCTCTTCATGTAGCCCAGGGATGGCAAAAATGCAGAACTTCAAGGTTGCCCTATCCTCACAGGATCACTGTAACATGTTTTTACGGGGCCGACTGGTTTAATTCTTTGACTTTTTTGCCAATCAAGTGACACAAAGTCCCAGTGGCAACTTGGCAGGGGCATTGAGACCATTGAAATACTTCACACAGGACACCTGACATGTGACACATGGATCAAAAAATATACAGGTTAGGTATGGAGTGCAAGGCCAGATTCTTCGTATGAAAAACTTAGAAAATTAAATGCTGTGTATTCTGAGAGGTGTTTATTTGCTTGAGAATTATGAATCATCAGAATTTGAATATAAGGGTAGTTCAAAGGTATATTTAATTAATATAATTAGCAGTAGTATTTTGAACCATTTTCTTAATGAAGATGGACATCTATGGACATGCAGGGCTTCATCCATGGCTCAGTGAAGTCAGTGTAATTAAACATTCATATTTTCCACAAACTACATTAAAATGTGAGGGGTCATCTTGTGTTGCAAAGTGGGGAATTATATATTGATTTTCATTAATCTGAATCTATTAATGGAATCACAGAATGGTTTGGGTTGGAAGGGACCTTAAAGATCATCTAGTTCCAAACCCCCTGCAAGGCAAGGGCAGGGACACCTCCCACTAGACCAGGTTACTCAAAGCTTTGAACATTTCCAGGGATGAGGCATCATCAGTTTTCCTGGACAACCTGTTCCAGTGTCTCACCACCCTCACAGTGAATAATTTCTTCCTAATATCTGACCTAAATCTCCCCTCTTTCAGTTTAAAGCCATTACCCCTTGTCATGTCACTACAAGCCCTTGTAAAATGTTCCTCCCCAGCTTTACTGT